GCGTAACCCCTGCTTCTCCATCTACTGGGGGCACTGTTTACCCTTACCTACGGGGGAGACTGTTTACCCTTACCTCGGGTAAACTCAGGTATGTCTTCCAAACAGCTTGTGGGTGTACCAACTGGGGTAGGCCTGTTGGTCGATTCAGTTTCCCCCCACCTCCCCACACACACCCCCCAAAAGAAAAGGGTGATGGCCTTGTGATATGAGCAATGAACTGACCGGCCCCAGGCAATTCAGAATGACTTCATTCTGTCCATGTGGTTGCATCTGGACTGGATTCGAACCTTTTTTTTTTTCAAACACACTCCCCCACCAGTGTTAGTGGTGCTGATACGCGCAGACACCACTAGCACCTGGGGAGAGGCTCCATCTATTATTGGTGGGAAGCATCACCTGCTGGAAAGCGGGTCCAGCGTCCCTTAATACAGACTCAGCTCGAAGTACATCAGAAAACAATTATGGAGTGTTCCTGCCAGCATTGATTACCCTGGGATCCAGGGGATTGACTGAGCAGGATACTGGAAGGAAGGGGGAACCTCTTCACCCTGAATCTGGCGCCAGATACACAGCTACATGCTAGTTCCTCCCTCCCCCTAGGCCCTATCGAGTCCATGCTAGCTGGAAACCGGGTCCAGCGTCCCATTACCTGCCTGGGTGCCATGCGGAAGAAACGGAAGGAGCCACTGGGGGGCACCAGTGGAACCTCCTTTCGTCTCCTTGCCTGGCCCAGGGTAAATTTGAAAACATCTTTCTAAAACATCTTTTTAGGCCAGAATTTCCGTCAAGGAGAGAGTATGGGGCGGAAAGGGGTCTGGGAAATCTGAGGGGGGGCGCAGAGGGAATGAGGGTTCCACATGAATCCAATCTTTGAACACCTACTTGTAATCCCTCATGTCTTCCAAAACTCGTGGTCCACCAGCCCTGTCCCCTCCCCATGTGACCTTTGCTACCCAACCTTCCCTTTCTCCTCCCAACCAGTCCATGCAAAATGCTGTAATCACTCTCCTAATGTCAATGATTTGTCTTGTGACTTCGTGTCTGACCATCTTCTTAAGAGTCTTTTTTTTTTTTTTTTTGATGTAACAAGCTCCATCTATTGGTGGGGAGCAGCACCTGCTGGAAACCGGTCCAGCGTCCCATAGATACAAGCATATCCTCACAAATTGGCACAAACTGGGAACCGTGCCCAGCGTCCCATAACGAGTATGTTCAGAAAACTTCATCCAAAAATTCATGAAAATGAGACAAGGTACTACTAGAAAAAACTAATTGGCCTAAGGATGAAATTTTGAAATTTGAGATACCTGGGCCATTACCCGGCTTTGGCTTGGAGAAATTGGAGCTACTTCAGACATATCTATGACAACTTCATGATTAAGCAAAATTCAAAAACGACTCAGAAAACCCCCCAACAATCCACTTTACCTCACTCCGGCAAGACAGACTGCAGCGGAGCCACCATCTCTGCTGCTGCTATGCCATACTCCCATCCTACCAGCTAGCCCCCTCACTGGTAGGACGCATGATAACCCACCATCTTCTCTCACTCACCTTATTTTCTTTTAGAGATACCTAAGAACTCTTATCGTCATTCCAGAAGCATGAGAATAGGCCACAGAGGTCCTACGATTGTTCCAAAAAACCTCGAAATTTCACACAAACCCTTCCAACGTTCTCCAAAACTGCCGTACTCCCTGTCGATCTCTTCTAGGTCTCACACCCCCACTTTCGGCTGGGTTACAAGGCAACGCGACTCACCCCAGCTCCGACCAGCATCGTCCCGGCACCAACCCTTGGTTGTCCCGTGGAATGCCCACCCCAAGACATCCCCAGATCTCTCTACCAGACCTCACGCTCCTGCATCGCAGGTTACAGGGCGACACCCCAGCACCGGTCAGCGTCATTCTGGCATCGAACAACCGCAGATCATCGAGTATAACAGCATTGAAAGCACCTAAGACGAGTTAGTAGGGATCCCGGAGTCCTAAAAAACATTCCTAGGCCCACTAAGCACCCAACTCTTTTTGGGACATTTGAAAAACTTTTAGAAAAATATAAGAGCGGGGGGGCCAAGACTAAATCGACCTACTATCCTAAATTCCCCCTTCCAACAGATGGGGCGTCGGTCCAGGCTTTCAGTCCTCGTACCAGAACTCGATCTCATACCCGCTTTCAGTCCTCGTACCAGAACTCGATCTCATACCCCCTTCTGCTAGGGTAACAGGGCACCACAACCCTCCCCAGTACCGATCAACCTACCTCTGACGGACACGAAGTGCCTTCCTCCCTCGACAATTCCCTTAGCGGCGAGCCCCTAAGCAGGTTACAGAGTCAATACCCCGGCGCCAACTATGTCGGCCGATCTGGTTATGCCTTCCACCCTCGGCATAACTTCACAGGCCTTAATCGCCCCTTTGGTTACAAAGCAGAGGCTCCAACACCGGCCTGTGTCGTCCCAGCATCGTCCTTCTAACCTACTTACCCTAACAAACAACCCTTTCTGTTGAAAATCCCCTTGCTACCTACCTTCCTTCAAATCTAGCTTCCCCCCCCCCTTCGGCTCACTGTGTAGCCATCGAAGTCACTATTCCCCTAAAAAAAACAAAATCCTAACACACTGCTATAAGCATCCACCCCCTTCCCTTCTCTCCCCACCCGCCAGTACTGATCCGACCCAAAATCAATCTGGCTAAGAGACAACAATCCCCCAATACCGCCTCCCCCCTCCAAGAATAACACCTCCCACCTTCTGAAACCCTCACGGGGGGAGGCTCCAACCCTCAAGGAGGACCCCACAGATATACACTGCAAGCCACAATTACACCCCTCGAGACCAGGAAGTTGAGATTAACAACCATAGGTTTTTTTTTTTAAAGATATTTCGGAAACCCACTTTTAGGCATCAGAGATCATAAACGAATTTGTATCAGACATCCAGAAAACAATCCAGACCCTAAGATCAATGATAAGAAAAGCTACTAAGTGGCAAAATTTACGAAAGATTATACGAATTTTAAGTTTGGATATCCATATAGGAGTTTCGA